GTGTTTTGGATTATGCTCACTCATGACTTCACAATTCAGCACGCGTACGAGCACATGTCTGGTTGCAATCTTAGAACTGAACCGCTAGTGGCCGCTGGATCACCTGCTTTATTTTTATTGACATTTTTTAGCTAAATGAGTGGGTCAATATGGGCAACACAAGGCTTGTACAGGAACAAGGTCTTTCACTGACAAATGTAATCGGTTACATCATATAGGCATATATATATATATACATTTTTTATTTTACATATTGTAACATAGTATTAAGATAAAGGTTCAATGTCTCCAAAGAGTTTATGTCATTCATTTGTTTTCATTGCTTCTCTAAAAGTAAATGTTTATTTAAATATTACTAAAATTAACAAATGTATGTAGATTATTCAGCCCAGTACAACATGGAATCTTGTTCTACTTACAAACCTGAAAACATTCATGTTTTAAGTATCAAAAATAGCATTTCTGTAAAAGCAACCAAGAACTTGTTCTGTACGGTTGAAGCATTCACAAATAACACTATTTCAAATTTCCCACAATTACATACCAACAGTTGCAGGAAACATGTAGCGGCTCTTAATACCTTGCTCAAGTGCTCTGGAGCAATAACGCCTGGAAAGTGGTCACTAAAGTGAAATTATATTTAGAAATTATATAAAAGTTATAATATAAAAGTATAATAAAAACCTAAACCACCTGTTCTTAAAATCTGGCAACATCTGAATATCTGAAGACAGTTAAGTTGTTGGTGTCACAGTATTTTTGATGTTTGGAGATCTTTTTATTGTAATATTTCCTGCGAGAGCACTGCAGTCTGTACCCTTGTACATCATCATAGAGGGGGGAGAGTTTCCCTCTTTAGGGATGGATTAACACATCCCGGGTGGGCTGAAAGAAGGTAAAATGACCTGTCCCGCCTTACGTGACCCTGGGCCAACCCGGCACATTGCCACGGCTTTACTCTTTGCTCTTGAATATGCAGAGATCCCCAGCTTCATAGGCTCGGGAGAGAGAGAGGAAAAAAAGAGATGTATCGCATTGCAGGGAAAATTAGTGAGACCAAAGTTGGAGTTTCTGTGTGTTGGGGGCTACGAACAATGGCAGCTTTCTGTCAGACAGCAACTTCAAAGGTCTTCTGAGTGACTGCTCTGAGTTATACTTTGTTGTAGATCACTGAGGAAATTCACAGATGTTTTCTCATACGAGACACCATTATAGCGGCTCAAGTACCCGGTAGCCTCAAGCGTCTCTCCCTCTCCGCCTCTCTCTCCCTCTCCCCCCACACTCAAACTCTCACTCTCACACATGCACCCTGCACCACCTCCCCGCTCACCCCACCCTCATGCCCAAGTCTCTGATATGTCTCGTATGAGACAGATGTGGAACCTGTTTTCTCTCCAACTGTCCAGAGAATATGGAAAGTTAAAAGGGTTCGTGTTGTGGCATTGCCCCCTGACTCTTGTCAAATCCACAGTCGTCACTGTCAGTTATCTCAAAATGCTCAAGTTCAGCTCCTCGTTCTCAGAGCCGTTTGGGGTCAATACAATAAGTAGTAAATCATTCTAATAAAATTAAACAATTAAATGCAATGATAGTGAAAAGTACTTTTGAGTGTGCTGCATGATGGGCATTGTCAATGCAGTTTTTCTCTCTCTTCTGCAGATTGCCTTCTTCAACTCTGAACTGGACCTGAGCCAAAACAAACTCAGCAACTTGATATCTATTGTACATTTTTATTTATCTCTAGTAAGCTGCCATTTTATATGAGTCAAATAAATGTGTTTAAACTTCTTACTTTTGACTGTTGGTGTTTTTCTTCTTGTGTTTACTGGTAATTGATGGTCCTTTTCACATAATGAGTCACCTGTTGAACATTTAGAATAGGTTTCATTTTGTTTTAAACTCAAGATATTCAGATATCTGATCAAAATAGGAATATGAGCCAAAAATGCAGGTGTGGTTTTCTGCCTTTTTATATGTGGAAAAATACCTGCTTCAATTTCCTGCCTTTTAGAGGCAACAACTGTGTGTGTTTTGTTTCCTGTAACTGCAAGACTATCTTCTTTAGATTTTGCTAACTCCTGAATTCAGCTTCCTACATGTCTCCCCTCTTAACAGTATTTCTGTCGATCAACTCTCTGCTTTATGCTTTAGTGTATGAAATACACGGATGGTACAGACTGATTTCATGTTCAAACCTTTGAGTACACAGGCAGAAAACTATTGCAGCAGGGGTTCCTGCAAGTTAATTTTCCCATCAAATGCCGCAGGATAAGATTCTTACAGTCAAATCACTGCTGAGGTGACCCTGTAAAACTTGAGGCATGGCCATAAGACCGTAAAGGTTTGGAGCAAGTAAATTACCTCAGGGACTGGACATTGTGTCAAGCACACAGTCATGAATTTCTTACAAACTATATCAAAGTCCTGCTCAGCCAAATCCATCCCTCAGCTGGAGTCCCATTGAGATGCATTAAAATGTAAGAACTCGCATTTAGGGCTGAACCGAGTGTCTCAAAAGGAAGATATCAATAATTTGGTAATGCTGATGGTTCACAAAATTCATGCAGTTGTCACATATGGCTGGAATCTGACTTAGTGTAGCATGACGGCTCACATGTAAAGCTGATTTATGTGAAAATCCACCATAAATCGGAATTAATATGTATTATTTTAATGTTCATGAATCACCGCTTCTATTCAGGATCATAGAAAAATGTTAATTCTGTTTTAGGGTGGATTCTCCCTTTACTTTAACAGTCGTTTGGTTTGACATAAGAGAGCAGATTACAACATTTGACATTTATCTGACATTTAAACCTGGAAGGAGAAACTGACTTACTTCTCTTCTGCACAAATACAAACTTTTGGAGTTGACTATGAAATTGTTTACAGCTGTGATGGCTGAGCTGGTCAGTAATTTAGTTGGTTACAGCTGGTTAACTGAGTTTACTGTATTTGGCCTTTTTAGAATGATCTTTTCAACTGTTTTGGGCCCCCTTGTGTCAAAATCCTTTAATACTAAAGTGCACAAAGTGAATGCATGTAGACTAACAAAGTGCAATGCACAAGACATAAATAATGGTTTTAGAAATTATTAATAAATCATTTACAAATGCTTTACAGTTGATTTGGATTCCATTAATTAATAGCAAGTTTTGCGTTGCCAGGTTGAAATAAAATCACTTTGGTGGCTGTTTATCCTTTGTGTCGGTTATAGTTTAGTTATAAATGTTAGTATCTACTCCAGGGTTTCTCTTTTTCTAATAAACCGTCAAGTCTGCAGTATGTCATCGATAAAGTGTTTTTATAAGAATCCATCTTACTGATGAATTAAAATCATAAAATAGCATGCCAATTTGTCTCATTATCCTGGGGGAGAATAAACATCAGCAAGGGATTTTTTTAACAACTTGGCAACCCGACAGGTGTTCTTTCTTATAACTGATTTATTAACCATTAGTAAAACAATTAATTGTTAGTTAAACAGTGTATAAAGGGTGCCTTCTAAAAAGTGATCATGAAAATACTGTTCACACATTCAGATGTTGAAACCATTTACAATATGACTTGGGATGACTTCCAACAGGTCTAAGTTATTAAAGAGCTAAATGTAAACAAATACACACACAGTTGTGTAAATGACAGATTAATACAATGTTGCTCAGGATGCAAAGCAGTGACCTACCTGTTTTCTGCACATTTTTAAAAAACTTTATACAACAAACTGTGTCACCCACTGCTGCCATAACTTGATGTAAACAAGATTGATCTCCACTAGTTTTTTATCAGTCAACAGTGTGACTACACTACTCCTGTAGCCAGTTTTGTAGTTTAACATGGCTCCAGTGTAGCCCAGCAGGACTCCCCCTTTCCCTCATGACTGTGTGTAAAGCCGTGGGAGAGGACTGGGAACATTAATCCCTTCAAAGGAACAGATCTAATTCAAAATCTGCCGCTCCAAACTAGTTGAGAGGACAGTGATTGTTTCTGCAGGGAAGCCAGATAAAGATCAGAGAGCTGATATAGAAAACTACAACTTTCATTTCGACTGCTCTGTCACAAAAGTTTGGATATTATCTTACGAAAACTGCATACTTTTTCCATCATAAAATGTTTTGAAACAAAAAAAGGAAAGAATATGATATTGTACACCAGTTTAGCCTTTGTGTTAAAGTTCCCTTACATTATAAATACCGCTGTTTAATTTGGATGCATGGGATCTTGTGCTTTTCTGAATGAGAACTTCTTCATTGACCTTTCAAATTTACAAGGAATCTTAATTGAGACATGAACATTTCAAGTGCTGCTTTTGTCACCTGATTTAAAACAGAGGTTTCCCTTTATGTCATGTTAAGTAATATGTTATAATTTGAATTAGCTGCTGGAAGTTACCCTAAGGCTCTAAAAGCTTACATTTTGATGCTCAATAAAGAGAGGGAATGGGGGTGGGGAGTTGTAAATCAGGAGTAAGGTTCTGATAAAACAAATGATTGAAATGAGCAAGGAGACTATTTAAATAATTCAGAGAGGGCATAATTAAGTGTTTAATGCCCATGTTGTAGTTCAAAGGAACAACAAAGAAAATTTAATTCAAATTAGAAATGTAAAAGAGACGCAGATTCTTCCGAGATGAGAACTTTGTGTTGAGTCACTTGATTTGGTCTCCTTCCTCCATCAAACAGTCAAGGCAACTCTCTTGGAGATCTCCAGAGATAACAATGTCACATTGTCACATAGGGTTCTGCTACAAATCCTTAATTACAAAAAGAGGATCAGATGACTACAGCATCCAATACCGGGGTCTCCAGGCGGCATGGGGGTCTTTGATCAAGAAAATCCAATTATTTGTGTATATACATTTCCCACATAGTGATTACTTCATTAATTGTCCCGCCTTTATCTCCTCCCTTCCCATCCCCCCTAATAATCAGCTCCTTTATCCAGACCAACAAACACACCATAGGAGCTTTGTGGATTCAAAGGATTTGCTTTCCCCTCTCAAAGAGCCGCTATTCTTTGATGATTGGGCAGCGGCAAACTTCAAAGTAATAAATCTTATTTCTGACTGGCTGGCGGCCCACCAAAGTCCTTATCAAATTCTAAGAAGTGATCCCTCACTCTTCAGATAGACCGAGGATATCTCAGAGAGAGGAAGCACACAAGAGTGAAGACCTGCTCGACACGAAATTTTACTGCGAATGCATATTTATCCAAATTAGTGCTGTTATTTTTTTTATTGTTTTCATCGAGAGGGAGGAGGACGTTTACCATGGCAGCAGTGGCTGTACTGCGGAATGAAACACTCCAGGCTTTTCTTCAGGTTTGTGCGCAAGTTTCTGTAGTATACTTTACACGACTTTAATAACTTGTAAACTTACCCAACCGAATTGGGTTTTACATTTGGGTTACGACTTCTCTTGTGTAATTATATCATAAGATAAAAGTCTGCTACTTTAATGGGCCAGTGTAATATTTAATTACTAACGCTGTTTTGCGTGTTAACGACTCCTGCTGCAACATAACGCCAACTTTTATGTCACATCACGATTCTGGCTACAGGATCGATCAGCAGAGCAGATGGCATTCAAACTATTTAGACAAACTATTCCATCATTCGGTTAAATATTAAAACGCAGCGAATTTTCTGTCGTGTTTTACCTCAAAGTGTGTAAGATAATGATTGTAATACAGAAAATATGTGTCTCGGTTATGCAGGATCGCACTCCAAACTCGTCTCCAGAGAACTGTAAGCACTCTCCGCTGGCTCTCCTGGCTGCCACTTGTAACCGGATCGGGCACCACCACGGATCCAACCCCACAGATTTCCTCCAGGTCCCTTACGACCCGACTCTGGGCTCCCCTTCGCGTTTATTTCACCCGTGGACTAACGAGGGGACCCCTCAGAGTAGCCTGGCCAGCAACGCTACTTTCGGACTATCCTCAAAGCCCCAGCTGTCTGCGCACATCCAGAGCTCCTTCAGCTCGCACCACGAACTGCCCCTCACCCCTCCGGCGGACCCCTCGTACCCCTATGACTTCTCCCCTGTGAAGATGTTACCTTGCTCCATGCAGTCTCTGCAGTCCACCTGCCCTCCCACCTACGTCCCCGCAGTCAGTTACGCAGCCCCAACCCCCATTCCGCCCGCAATGCCAAGTTTTGTCACGGGACCCTCCGGCCTTGTGCACCAGCAGCAGAGACAGTTGTCCCCAAACCCTGGAGAGGATATTCCGTGGTGGAGCCTCCAGCAGGGGAACCATGTCAGTCACACTTCCTCCCTTGGTCCCCATCGCTTCCAGCTGCAGAGGGGCTTGGTTCTGGGACATACGGACTTTGCGCAATATCAGACGCAAATCGCGGCTCTGCTGCACACAAAGTCCCCTCTCGCAACTGCGAGGCGGTGCAGGAGGTGCAGGTGTCCTAACTGCCAGTCCTCCACGTCCAGTGACGAGCCGGGGAAGAAGAAGCAGCACATTTGTCACATACCGGGTTGCGGGAAAGTTTATGGTAAAACTTCTCACCTCAAAGCGCACCTGAGGTGGCACTCTGGGGAGCGACCGTTTGTGTGCAACTGGCTGTTCTGTGGGAAGAGTTTCACCAGGTCGGACGAGCTGCAGAGACACCTGAGGACTCACACGGGGGAGAAGCGCTTTGTTTGCCCAGACTGCTGCAAGAGGTTCATGAGGAGTGACCACTTGGCAAAACATGTCAAAACTCACCAGAACAAAAAAAGCAAGTGCCATGACAAGACCCTTGACCATGTCAAAAGGGAGGACACGAGGAATATGTTGTAACACCACTTGTAGTCATTTAAAACAGTACAAATCACTAGTGCAATACAGTCAGTCCTACATTAGTTAAAAGTACACAGTGAGCTGCATTTTATAGGGTATTTTGTTTAGTTTGGTGGTTGATTTCTTACATACAATAGTTTCTAACATTTGCTGGTCTGTGTAGCACATTTTTGTATATATAAAGTTTCCTAATTTAATTTGGGACCATGGAGAACTTATAGCTCATGAGTTTGGATTCACTGTCTATATCATATGAAGAAGACAAGTTTTCAACTTGTGTTTTGATCATTGTCTTCGGTGGAAGATCTCACTCCCCTGTAAATTCTATTTAATAGCTTTTGTTGAATGAAAGTGTCCGTTTTTTGCTCCATATGGGGTGTTTTTAAGCATGCTCTTGAAAAGATCTGCTATTGTTGATATGACCCAAATACTGTGTGAGAATAAAGATTATAACATTTTCCTCAGCTCAAGAATAATTAATTTGATATCCCTGATCAACTGGCTGATGATATAGATTCAGTATTGCCTGGATTAGTGTGGCTTGTGAAATTGTTGTCAAAGTTACTGCAGTCAGTTTATTTTTAGTTATTAATTTCTGTAAAATCTTAAATTTAAGTGATTTGAGGAAGAAAGTGTGCAAATATTTAGTTTGGAGCAGTTGGTGATGGAAAAAAAGTGAGTCATTCACCTAAAATAGAACAGTGTTCAGAATAGCCAAAAGTGATTTTAAAGACGAAAAAGATGTCTGCATTGAAATCCAATTTTGTTTTTCCATGCTACTCTACTGCTATTGTTGTTTAAGCTTTAACATAAGCGATGCGATATTTAAGTTTTGAGAACAGAAGTTGAGTTGATCTGGACTGTATTTGAAAATCTTCGCAGGAATGTTTGTACATACACTGTCTAAAAATGTACAATACAATGTTAAACAGTGAAATAATAGCTGTGTGAGCCCTGATATCTGTCCGCCAACTGAGTAAAAACGGACATAAAGCATGTTAGATATTCCTTTCCATCATATGTAGACCTGAGCGCTTCAAAAGTGCATACATGTGCTAATATTCTGAAACACAATTTAATTAAATCCCAAACTCTACAAGGTAGGTTTATTTGTCATTTTACAACACAGGATTGTATAATGGGATTTAGTTTTTTGTGCCCTTTATACTACTAACGAAGAGCAAACATTATGTACAAAAATTATATAAAGATATACAGCTATTTTGCATGATGGAGTACTGAGGATGAATTAAGGAGTCTCACAGCCTTTAGGGAAGAAGCTGCTCTGGAGCCTGGTGGTACAACAGCTACTATAGGTAGCAACTGTACTTTTTTCAGTATGGATGTACTAACTAGAGTATATTATGAGGTGAGAGGGTTTGCCAAAAATGTGCTCCTTTTCATAGATAAAAATGCAAACAACCCTCAAAATAAATTAAATTAAATTGTACATTAAGCTGTTTGGAGAAAATCACTCGTTCACCACATTTTCTTCACAGTTGATGTTAATTTTTCCTGCCATTAGAATCAACTGCAGGAATGCTCTAATTTGTTAATGCCCTCTAATAGATCTGGGGGATTGTTTTGTGCCACAGTTTTTGCATTTAGTGTTTACCCCTGAGGACTTTGCAGTGACACTGAAGGCTGAGATGAGACCCATTAACAGAGAAACACTTTGCCTTTTACCTGGAATACCGCTGAACTTGTGTTACACACAGGATGTGTAGCGAGTTCAATGTCTTACCTGTCTGATTCAGTTACTCAGAGCCATAATGGGCAGTTTTTTGACCAAACTAATTGTCTGAAAACTCTTTCTAACTTCTTCCACCCATATTTTCCCATAGTGACTGGGGACTTTAAGTGACTTTCTAGTAAAAAAAACTAACACAAAACTTGATTTTCTAACCTTAAGGCAACCACTTCCATACAACTAATCAGCACAGAGAAGTGATGCACTCTTCAATACCTAATAGATCTGAACGATGATCCAATGATCCCAACATCGAATTCAGTAACTCAATTATGCAGAGTAGCACTGCTGCATGCCAGCAGTGACACTGTTGTCCTGTCTGTTTCTGAGGGATCACTCAAAATGTCAGTATGAAGAGAATAACCACTGCCAGTCATTGGGTTTTTGACAGTTTTCTGCCTCAACAGCGCCCCCTTTTGTAAGTTTCCTCAGTGGTTCGTCAGAGCAGACAAATATTATTCTAACAAATGTAACTGATTCCTCTAGAGGTCCATGCTTGAAAGTGAATTACATTTGACATCAGAAAAAGACGTTTTATCATTCTTGTGCGTCTTACATGTTGTGCACTCTGTTACTCTACTCTTATAAATCAACCTTTAACTAACAGTGCAGTAGCTTTATTCAGGTTTCCTTGTTGTATGGTGGTACAGTTTGCCGCAATATGAGTTAGAAAGTTTTGCCTATTTGAAATCCAGTTTAGTTCAACTCAATTCATCTGGTGACTTAAAAGTGCAACCAACTGACTTCAAAATGCAATTTAGAATCTAATGTAAACATAGAGGTTGCCTCCACACCAAAATTCAAAATACAATAATATAATTGTACAATAAAATAATATAATAATATAATTTGAACCTGCTCACTCCCAAACTGACTTCAAACTGACTTCAAACTAACCAAGGACAGTTGCTGCAAATTAGCATCACCTGGAAGCCCCATATTTCTTATATTTGTTGCACTATGTCTCCTTATACTACGTAACAATCTTGTCCCTATTTAATAAAAAACTAATAACTAAGTTATTATGTTTACTAGTGTTGTTAAAGGGTTGTTTACATCAGTAATATTTGTTAATAGCAGCAAATCAGATCTATGTTTCTTAATGATCATCAAATGAAAAACAAACAAAAAGAGTTTTATATAATTCTATAAGCCAGATGATTCAGTTATATGCAGTCTGAATGCACCTGTATTTTATATGGGCAGAAATTACTGGTAGGCCCTTTAAAACGAGCAAGACTATGCAGTTTTGTGTTATATTTATCAGCCGTTGTATTTGGACCAGAATTTGCATATTATCCTGCACTGTACTATACTCTCTTGTATATACAGCCTTTTGTACACATGCTGCTATTTGCACTTGATAATCGATGTGCAAGTGAGAATGTGAGAGTTCCAGTTTTACCAAATCCCAAGAATGAACAATCTGCATGACTATTAACATACATTCATGACAAAAAGAGGAGGTATGTAGAAAAAAAGCTCTAGTGGTGTGATGAGATGTGACCACTTGAACTGTAAAGTCTTTATCCCAATTTTATGATCCTATTATAAAATGAAGCCTATGGATGGATATGTTGAATGCACCCGACTGGCTCTGCACAAAGGCATTGTTCGGCTCTGATTTGGCTTCATTGTCCAAGACAGAGTCACTATTCTTTAACACTGTAGGAGGCCATAATGCTTAATTGTTCACGGAAAGGAAATCATTTGTTGTGGCTTAAGTTTATTTCCTAGAAATGACTGAATGAAAAGTTCAGATATTTATATTATAAATGCCTGTCCATGTAGGGTTTTAAACAATTTAGTCTTTACTGTCTGATACAAAGCATCATTAATATTATTAGCATAAGCATTATTGCTGATTAAATGCTCATCTCATTCTGTATGTCATTCCCTTCAGGGTTACTCCCATTATATAGCACGTGTAAGCAGTATCTAAACAGTGAATGAATGGTTTAAAACACTCTAAAAGTAGTTGTGAAAGGGGATAAACATTTAATGTGAACAACTATTACTTCTATGGTGCTTCTGTATAACTGGTGTATGCACACAAAAAACAATGGGTCAATATGGCACAAGCATAATAATAGGTTACCTTTGCCCAGTATCATGGTTAGAGAAACAATTGGCTGTTTTGAACCAGTATTAGTGCCATTGTATTTTATTACAGTTGGGTTATTTGCCCAAACTAAACTATATTATGGGGTTGTGATGGTGCAATGGATAAGATGCATGCCTTTGGTGTGACCCAGGTTCAATTCCCCACTGTGGTACATCCACCAGTGTGTCCCTGAGCAAGACACTTAACCCTTAGTTGCTCCAGAGGCATGCGACCTCTGACATCTTTAGCAATTGTAAGTCGCTTTGGATAAAAGCGTCAGCTAAATGAATAAATGTAATGTAATTATGGTTGTGGACTGTTGTGGACAAATGTGTATGTCACTATTTGTGACTGATTGTTAATAATATGTGGATCCTTCGCAATTTCTAATGTCATAAGCACATCCTTTTGTACAAATGACATGACGTTTATGACGTTTCAGGGTAAAGGTTGTTATGTCTGAACACTTGGTCAACACAACAGTGATCTAAAAAATACAACACATTGGTACTGTTAACCCAGTTATAATATCAGTAGATCAATATAATATAATTTTTACCCAGTGATTTTTAGTGTGTAAACAGAAAATGAAGGATTGACAATATAATATCAACCAACAGTCATAATCATATAAGATATGTCTTCGTATTTTAATAAAAAACTTCTTCTCTCTCCATGCCAACTTCAAAAACACCATCCACTGATGAAGACCAAGGGGTGCAGCGCAAAGCTCCAGAAGCAATCTTATAAGAAGTGAGTAAACTACTATTTCCAAAGACAAGACTGAACATTTTGGCTCAATATTTCTTCATTAGTTCTAATGTTTTAAATCTGTCTGCGAATGATATTTCAAACAAGCATCCTGAGATTTGTCTGTGTTTAATTATAGATTGTTAAATATCATTGCAACTTTTCCACCTCGTTATCAGTAATTTATTAACTTAGCTATGGATGTTTCATAAGAGAGGTTACAGTTGTTGACAAATACAGTAATAAACACTTTAAACTTCCTTATCTCTGCTACACTATACTGTGTTTCAAACAATGTATTACATTTTTAAACACATGCTAGATAGAAAATAATTGATGTGCATTGAACTACTACATCAAAAGTGACAATGGGTGCTGAAAGAAAAGTTAAGAAGTTAATTACACTTTTGGTTTAAAAATAAATAATTAATAAATCAAATATTAACTACCCTGTTTAGGAATCATATTGGAGTGTAGTGAGCTTTGGGGATCAGGTTCAGTAAGCACTGGGACAGACTCTTTCATCAAACATGATCCTACTTCACTGTGGCATTGGCTCTGCAGAGGCTGTTGAGAATAAATGACTGACAAGCAACAGCATGAATTAAATCCCAGATATTAGCGCTGCTGCACTCTATGGAGGATGGTTATGTATTGCCTGAAATTTTGTAGCCAGTGTTACATTTAGTGTGGCAAGTGAAAACGGTCTGGACATTCAGATAATGATTAAATCTGCACTGTTTGAGAGGCAACTTTGTAGTTGTATCAGTGCTTCTGTGCCTTTAAAGCAACAAAACATGGTTTCAAATCTTCAGAAGAATTCAGTAGTAAATCTTGAGAATATTCATAACTGTGCAAAAG